CCACTAACTAAGCTGGAAAATGGTGCGGCTGCAACCGCTAACAAATGGCCACAAAAATGGCGCACTTCACAGCCAAAACCCAACCCAAACGCGACTCCCCTTTGCCCCCTTTACCCCCTTTACCACACTGTGTTGCACTGCTTGTTGTCAACATGTTTTCCTATTTTTTGTTGTTGCTGTTTCTCCTTTAAGCATAGTTTTTTTTGTTGTAGTTTGTGGCAGGCAGCATTGTTGCACGTAGTATGCAAAAGCTGCTGGCAGCTGGGGCTGGGGCACAGGCCACGTAATTCACACGTTGGCCCAAACAACCTGGTTACGGGGAGCCATTATTCAGAGCCAAAAACTAACTCTCCTCTTGCGCCAGAGTGAAATTCTTCACAGAAATGCTCTTGTAATACGACAATTATAAAGCAATTAATAACCCAGAGAATTCCTCAAAAGAGATACTCACAGTTGTGCAACATTGCCCCCTGTTACAATGGGCAGCAGCGGCGGCAGCATAACTTACATACAGGCAGCCGCTGCTACTTGAGTTATTAAACGCATTATCATAAATACAATTGACAACTTATGACTAATGATAAGCTGGCATGCAACTTGAGGCAGGGCCGAGGCTGTGCCTGTAGCTGTGGCTGTAGCTGTAGCTGTGTATGTGCCAGGGGGTGTGCGGCATGCCGCAAATAAAGTGTTAATAATATAGATGGCAGAGGCAGCGCAGTTTGCGCTTAATAATGCAGCCTGCCTCTGACTGCCTCTGTTTCTGTCAGTCAGTCACTCATTCCGGCCCCCAGTACGTCAGTCGGTCTGTCATTCCGTCATTCCGTCAGTCGGAGAGTCACGCAAATGCCATAATGCCAGGCAGGCAAAAGCAAAGAAATAATTAAAACAAACAAGCGCGCAAAATGCTAAGCAGCCCAGAGACCCTCTCTCAGCCACTGTTGTCAGGCTTCAGCTTCAGTTTCAGTTTCAGCCTCGACTTGAGCTCCAACTAAAAACTATCAAGGTGTCTTTGAGGCGGCCAAACACTGACCTACCTGCTGAGCGCACAACAGAGTACCACTGTACCACTGCGGCGGCGGCGGCGGCTCTTGGTGGTGGCTAAAACTGGAATCCGTTATAGTTTATGGCCCGCTGCGGCCGCCGCCGCTGCTGCTGCTGCATGTTTAAACAATTTCCAATTTTGGAGCAGGTGTAAGTGTCTCAAGAGAGAGGCAAAGGCTGAGACAAAACAAGAGGGAGAGAGAGAGAGAGGAAGAGAGACACTTGACCGCATTTTGGAGCCGCCACGCGCCTACAACAGCAACATCTACATCGGAGCAGGTGAAAAGTCCTTGTTATATGTCTTGAGGGTAGCTCTGGCCATAAATTAAGCCAAGCCACCGCCTGCAGACACACATACACGATACGACGTACAAGGGATCAAAACCAGAGGATTCCCTGGCTCCTGCCCGAGTCCTTTGCATGATTGATTGTTGGCCAGCACAGGAAGCAGCTGAATCCACTAATCGACTCCGGAATCCCCTCAGAACAAACATCATCTAGCAATGTGTAGAGAGATGGAGAGTGTGAAGAGTGTGAATGTGTTTCTAGTGTCTCGTTTTACTCATTTGCGGATTTGATTTGTCTTTTTTGATAACGTGGAAAATCTCTCAACCCCTAATCCCATATCTGGGGGGGGGGCAGCTTTTGGTGTGAATTTAATTTACCAAAGAGCTGGAAATCCTTTCTTTTTTTTTTCGTCGTCGCCCCGTATCCTATCAAGATGGCAGTGCTCTTTGAGCGGTGCGATACAGTTGCCCATTGCCTTTTGTTGTACCATTCAAATGTGTTGATGATGATAATAGCAAAAGGGGTATGGGCAATGGTGTAAGGGGTATGGGGTACGGGGTATGAGGATGCTGTGCGTATGAGATGGCCGAAATGATAGGATCCAGCTGCTGGCTGCATTTTACTAATTGAAATTGTTGCGACAGTTGCCATGGGACATCACCTGTTCTCTGGCCGCTCTCTCTCTCTTTCTCTGTCTGTCATGGTCTGTCATCTTCAAATGTCCAACACGTCCGGCTAAGTGCATCGCATACATCACACATAGACATGCTCGTACATACATACATTAATTATGTCATTCACGTCGTCGTTGCCGTCGTCGTCAAGCAAAGTCGATTGCAATTAAAAGGCGCTTTCGGCGCACAAAACCAAACGGATACTACCCGGCTTTGGCTTGACTTCGATTTGACTTGCTTGGCTCTCGACTCGGGACTCGAACTCGAAGCGACGCGGGCTTTGGGCCTAGATGGACAGGCGCTGGAGAGCGTTGAGCGCTGTCAAACGCTTTTAAAATACCATAGAAATGTCCAAAAAGATAGAGAGAGAGAGAGAGCGAGCGAGCAAGCGGGAGAGTCGAGTCAGTCGGCTTTTGTGGCTTTGATCTGTCACTTTGAAGAAATCAAGCGCAGGCCAAAAACTTCAAAAAAACAAAAAACAAAAGCAACAACAAACTTGCTTTTGTTGTACAGGTTGTTGTTGTTGTTGCTGTTGTTGTTGTGTAGAACGTGTCAGCCGGGGACGACCAAGGGCAACCCCCTGCCCCCTGCCACAACACATACGAGTCATACAGCAACAACAACAACAACAACAGAGCTTTTCACCAGCACGAGCTTTGCATACCGACAACAACAATAAGAATACGAAAAAAAATTGTCGTTGTTTCTTGTTGCCTTTTTTTGTTGTTTTCTTCCAACTTTTTGCAACTTTAATTGCTGTGTACTCCGGGCTTGATTTATTAGCGAATTGTTTTATACACACAAAAAGATGCCAACAGCCGCCCCGCACAGGTCCGGAGAGGCTCAGCCTCAAATCCGAGCCGTACCTCAGCTAACAGTGACTCATGCAGATTAACAGCAGCAGGCAGCAGGCAGTACTTACAGACCCACCATTAACAGCGCTCTGTTATCGCCAACACCATCGGAGGGGTTCCAAAACAAATTGAAAGTTTCCAATTAAAGAAGCACCGACATTGATTTGGCCAGAGTCAGAGCCAGAGCCCTTCCTCTCCCTCTCTGACTGAAAGATGCAGCGGGTCCGCGCACTCTATAATTTAGCATGTCCAATGTGATTATTTCCCCGAGTCTGAGTCTGGGGTCTGTCCAAATTATACAAGTACAAGTACGATGATGACGACTTCATATACATTGGTGGGGGGGGAGAGGTGGGTTTATTTTCATTGAAAGATGAGGTGGCACGTAGCTGGTAATCGGGTTTTGTCGTTGTCGGCGCAAAAGTGTGAAGTCTCGTCTCGGGACAAGCAGCAACAACATTTGATTGAGGCATTGGGCCAGGGCAAATATCTTCCACGGAACTCAAAGAAACCACAAGTCCAACTGTTCAACTGTGCAACTGGGCAACTGTGGCTCTTGTGGTTGCCAACTGCAACTGAAACTGCCTCTGCCCTGGCTAATTTCTATAATCAGCCACACGTACATATAATATCGCCACTAAAGCACTGTTATTAGGATAATCAAATGGATATTATCGCAGGCAGCGATCCAACCAACCAACCAACCAACCGATCGATCGATCCATCGATCCAAGTGAACCGAACCATCCATCCATCGAGCGATCATGTTCTTCTCTTCTTTTTTTTTGCAACCGCTGATTGCTGGCGATGAAGGCGATATACCCTTTATCGGGGGCTGAGGAATTATAGCTTTGTTTTGCGGTTCATTTGGGGAGGAGAATCTGGGATTTGATTGGCTGCAGATGGAGCTATCAGAAGGGGGGAGTTTGTGCATAAGTTTCCCATGAGGGAGAAAGATTTAATTCGAAAATTCGACTCCTTTGTAGAGCATTTCTGCTTCTCCATTTGCGCCAAAACGATTGCAAGTTTGTTCTCCTTTGTGGTTGTAGATCTTGATTTGGCCTAATCCATCTTGGCGTGCATTGAACTGACCTACTGTTGGCCAGGCTAGCCAGCTTTGACTTTGCTGGGCTGCTGCTGCTGGTGCTCCTGCTGCTGCTGCTGCTCCTGCTGCTGCTGATTTTTCTTTTGCTGTGGCTGGCTGCTGCATAATCAAAAATAATTTCGCATACAAACAAGCCCCAAAGGCCTGCGACTCTTTGGGGAGCTGCAGCCAGCAATATTAATGATAATAATAAGAATAAGTGCGCCCCAAACAATTGCAGCATGCCTCCTACCCGGCCCAGCCTGGCACCCGCTCCGAGGATACACTCGGCACAGACATAGGGGGATATGCATGGGGCCAGCCTATACCAAGCGGCAGCATTGGCGCACATAAATCTCACTTGGTGTCTGCTAAATTATACACTGCCAGACATTTAGGCTACACTTTTAGCCGAGCCCTGGCATAGGTGAGGCGGCGGCGGCGGCGGCAAACGGGGCCCCCGATCCGATCCAAGCCGTTGATCGATCTTTTTAGCTCTGGGACAAAAGTTTAACGCGATTGTTTATGATACAAATTAAACAATTTATGACAATGCAGAAGTCCCAGCACCAGCACCAGTCGCAGTCGCAGTCTCTCTGTGGCTCTCTTTGGTCTTGGCCATATGCAAAAACGGCCCGAAGGCCGAAAGCGTTGCATCGATGGTGGATCGATCGCTTGATCTTTGCTTGTGCTGTGGTGTGGTGTGGCATGGTGTGGTCAGAGTGCCTTACCGAGGCGTTCTTTGCTCTGCGCTCTCTCTCTCTCTTTGGTGTTTCATAAATTATAACGCAGCTTTTCCGCCTTGGATCGGCTTTTGCTTAGCAAATTTGCGCGGCAGCCACAGAGGGGAAAGGAAAACACAGGCAGGACAGGGCAGAGGCAGAGGCAGAGAACAACCGCGTCGTCGTTTATTATGAATTTTTATCGCTTCTGGTCGCGGCTAAGTCGGTTTATCTTCGTTATAAATTCGGGCCATAATTGATTTAATGCAGCATTTAAGTTGATTTCTTTAGCCGCAGATTTTTATTAAGCACGCATTTTATATTTTTGTTGTTACAGCATCCCGCATGCCCTCCACACATGCCACGCCCCAAGTGTGCCGTCCGCACTTCCACACACCGCTTAGTCCCTGGCTGACCAGCGAACACAAGTCGTTCGCCCCCGCCAGCGCCTGGAGCATGGGACAGTTCGCCTGCCCCCAGGAGCCGCAGGTGGAGCACAAGCTGGGCCAGATGGGCCAGAGCCACCAGACGACGGCCGCCGGCCAGCATTCGTTTCCATTCCCACCGACACCGCCAAAGGATTCGACGCCCGACTCAGTACAAACCGGTCCATCCGAGTACCAGGTAAGTGGAGCGAAGGGGATCGATTCGAAGGCTTACAAATCTGAAATATCGATAGCTTATCGATTAACACTTTAAACAGTGAAACGTTCATTTTGTTGCTTCCATTTGGACTCTAGCCAGGGACTAATTTTTTTGTGTTCTTCCACCCCCCCATTACAGGCCGTTATGAACGCCTTCATGCACCAACAGGCCACGGGCTCTACCTCACTGACGGACGCCAGCTGTGCGCTGGACATCAAGCCCTCCATCCAGAATGGCAGCGCCAGCTCGAGCGGACCCGCCCCCACATCAGCGCCCAAACAGCGCGAAGGTACTAACAGCAATAATAATAGCTCCAACTCCAGCAGCAGCCAGCAGCAGCAGCAGCAACAGCAGCAGCAGCAGAGCGGCAGCAGCAATCCCAACAACAACAACAACAGCAATGCCTCCTCCTCCGCCTCCGCCTCAGCCTCCGCGGCAACCACCTCGAACGGCCTGTTCGACGGCACCGCACAGGCGCACTATGCGGCCTCCAATAATGCCAGCGGCAGCGCGAATGGCGGCAGCGGGGGCAGCTACGACAGCAGCAGTTACGCGTCGTACCACCACGCGGCACAGGCGGCGCACCACCAGGCGGCGGCGGTGGCAGCGGCCAACATGTTCCAAAGTTCCTCCGTGGCGGCGGCCGCCGTGCGGCATAGTATGGGTGCAGCGGCGGCTGCAGCGGCGCACCATCATCACCACCATCACAGTGGACACCATCATCACTCCGCCTCCTCAGCGGCCAGTGCGTCCATGCACGGCATGGGCGGCAGCATGGGCGGCGGCATGGGTGGTGGCAGTGGAGCGGGCGGCAGCTCGGCATCCCTGTCCGGACACAGTGGCTCCGGGGTGGGTGGTGGCGGTGGTGGCGTCGGCGGAGGACTGGATGTGAAGCCGGTGCGGACGAAGCCGAGGACGAGTGCTGGTAAGCAAGACAAAAGTTTTTCCGACATTATGCGATCTTGGTGTGGGTGAATAATCATTGTTGCTTGTTATCGATAGTTATCGATTGTACAACAATTCAATTATGTTTACCCTTTGTGTTGTGTCCAATGGAAACGGTTTACATTTGCTTGCAAATACAAAAAAAAAACTTACAAAAATTATTTTCTGTTAAATTTAATTGCATAATCGGCGCTTTTATGTTTGAATCGATAAAATCTCGGTAATTTATCGATAGCAAATGTAAACCGTTCCCAGTTGAAACACCTTAATGTTTAATTTTCATTATTTTAGTTTGTAGTTTTCATTTCGTCACCTGCCCGTCCGTCCCCCTGTCCACCTGCTTTGATTGACAAAACCCTTTGCCATTGCCGTTTCACACGCTCACGTGGGAAGCTACTAGAACGTCTTCCTCTCTCACTTAACTCCTGCACCACACGGAACTCTTTCCCCCCTGCCCATGCCCCATCCACACACACAAGAGAAGTTGCACTTGACATGTGCTCTGGAGCAGCATGCTGGCCTGGCCTGGCCACATTCCCGCCACTTGAGCATGTTTCCTGCTTTTGCGGGCCGCGTAAAAATATGCAGAAAGATCCCAGCCCAAGCCGCAGACGCAGCCCCAACCCCAGACCATGTCCCGCTCCCCCATTGCGTATACGCGGTGTAGTCGCTTGCCATGAAATCAGCACATTACAATGACAACAACTGCAGCCAACAATGGGAGAGGAGTAGCGGCAAGTGGCAAGCGGCAAACGGCAACTGCTGCAACTGCAACTTCAATGCTATTGTCAACGCTTTGCTTGGCTCCACTGCCTCCCCATCAATGTGGTTGTTGTTGTTGCTGTTGTGGTTGTTAATTACTTCATGTTGTTGCTGCTGCTACTGCTACTGCTGCCAGTGCCGCTGCCGTGGCTGATGTTTGAAAAGACCCACCACACACATACTCGTACAGAGGCAGCCGCATTCATTCGCATTCGCTGCGGAAGTTGGACGCCGCCTGCTGCACCTGCTTTGCCGTTGCGTTTTTGCATGGTCCGACGACAACAACTCAACAACATCAGCAGCAGCAGCAGCAACAAGAACAACAGCAGCAACAGAAACAACGACAACGACATCTTTATAGCTGCCACTTGGGCAGGGGCTACTATGCTATGCGTGAGGGTCGGAGTCGGAGTGCCACAGTGCCAACCCCCAAATACAAGTCGAAAGCGGCCAGCTGGCAATGGCTAAGCGTAGTAGCTGTTGGTAGCACACATTTAGTTAGTTTTAGGGGTAAATTCCAGGCTATACCAGGACCCTATTAGCATCACTCACAGCTCTCTCTCTCTCTCTCTGTTTGACCCCCAGTTGAGGGCAGATTTTGTAGCGCGCGCACCCTGCTTCCCATTCACCTTGCAATTGTTACTGTTGTTACAACACCGAGCGCACCCTGCTTCAAAAGCTGCACCCACAAATGCAAATAGACACGTACCGTATGCCGTATGCCGTATACCGTATCCCATGTGAGCCCCCATAATCATGACTGTATAACAGCGACCACAAATGAGGAAGCGGTACGAACACAATACGAGGGAGAAGCATCTCTCCTGCATCTCCGCTGACAAAATGTTTTCAGATTTCATTTTATTTCATTTTCTTGGCCAGGCGACAGTTTGCTTGCTTTAACTAACCCAACAGAAAGAAAAAAAAATACAAATAAAAATAAAAAATAAACAAAAAAGGTAGAGAGATGAGAAAAAATTGTGTGCAGCCGCATTGTTGGGTTCGTACCTTCGTTAGGCCTGCTCCTCCAACTTGGAGTCATCCTCAGAGCCAGGTCGAGCTACGCTGCTGCCTGTTGCTTGCCTGTTCTGTTCCCGTATTTATTTATCCTTTATCGCATCGCTTGCGATAAGTTTTTCGGGCGCAAGAACATGTGTTGCGAGTTTGTGGCTCGTTGCCACTGCCACTGCCGCTGCTGCCACTGCCACTGCCTCGCAGCATCAGCCACTGGGGATGCGACTGGAACTGGGGACTTGGACTTGGACTGAACTGTACTGAACTGAACTGGGAACTGGGAGACTGGCCACGAATGTGCATTGAATTGATTGGATGCCATTTGGGCTTTTGTCAGGTGAAAATAAAAAATGTTGTGAATGAGCTTTAAGTAATTGATATGGGTATGGGCACTGGGCAACTGGGCATTCCTTCGACTTCGACTTCACCGTCTTCCACTGCCGCCTGTTCCGCTCACTTCACTCAATCAGGGCTCTTGGGCTTAAACAGCAGGGATGAGCCAGGGTTTGGGTATAGGGTCCATTGTTCCTTTGTCCGGGCCCTGACAGCTCTGGCCTCAAAATGAGGCGCTTGCCACTTATGTGTGGCATGCGCAGGATACCCATACCCTCTTAGGATCCCCACATCCATATCCCCACACCCCTTTAGTCTCTCGCAGCGTGTCAATTATTCATACTAGGCGCATACTTTTCATTTTGTTTTGCCTTTTCGCCTTTCTGTTCACTGTTTACCATTAACCGTTTTTACCTTTACGTTTATCTCTCGCTCTTGTTTTATTCCGAGTATTTTAAGCATTTTCATTTGTGAAATTTCAACAATTATTTGAGAACAACAACTATTTACTCACACATCCATGTGTCTTTTGTCTTGCTCACCAGTAATTGTCTCTCTATTCAAGCAAAAGCAATCTAAAACCAAAAAACAACCCAAGACTCAGCCATAAATCTGTATATTAATCCAAGCAACTAATTAAAAACTGTGTGTGACCAGAGACCAGAGAGACCCGAGACCAGAGACCAGAGATGTGGTTTGCTGTTGGTTTGTGTCTCAGGATCTCTCTCCCGCTCTCTCTCTCTCTCGTCTACGTCTACCCACATGCAACAAATTAACGAGAAAAAAGGTACAACACATAAATTCTAGACAATTATGGCCCACTGACGCCAAATGTCAAATCAAGGCAGCAACAGTTAGTTAGACCTCTAGACCCCGGGACAACCTACAACTACAACAAGAAGCACAGCAGCAGCGCCAGCAGCAGCAACAGCAACAGCAACGAAGACGATGCCAAATCGGGGCCCTTAAAAACAGGTTCAGTTTCGGTTTCAGTTTCAGTTTTTTGGTTTTTTGGTTTTTGGTTTTCGGTTATGGGTTTTTGGGACCCCAGACAATGTCACACCGTAAAATACAACAACCGAGACCAGACCCGAAAACGGAGAAGCAGATGAGGAAGAAATACCAAAGTGTGCACAAATTTCCAAGAAATTACAAGGCAATGGATGATGTTGATGATGATGATTGTCCCTGGACCACAGTCCACGAAGAAGATCAGAAAAGTGTGTTGGGGCGGGAGGGACAAGAAATAACAGTTATAAGCAGGCTACTAAATCATAGACCAACCTGCTACGTGTGTCTGGAAAAACACAAATAAATAAATAAATAAAAACCAGAAAAGAAAAACTGTCATGGGGTCAGAGGAGTGAGTAGAGGGGGTGAGACAGGCCGCAGGACAGGCAAATTGATACCAAAAACAAAGCAGAAGAGTGAATAAAACAAAGACTTAATGGCCATAAAACAGAGGGAGGCCCAAAGTCAGAAAGGATACCGAATGGGCAGTGTTCGAGTGCATTTTGCCGTAATGCCATACCTTGAACGAACATACCTTGATTTCAAACTGTCCCAATCTCACTTCCACTCCTCCTACACTTCTCTATGCAGACTCCGCTCTCATTTTCGGCTCCCTGCGCTGCTCGGCGAGTGCAGTGCTTCGGCTGTGTGTTGCTCTTTTTGTGTTGTCACAGTGGCCACATAGGGTAAAAACATCATTAACACATTTGATTTATTAACTGCCGAGCGGGGATATTTATTCCTAAGGAGGATTGCAGCCGAAAACACACACAACTTACCGGGAACTGCGCTAGAGCAAATCCATAACCAAAGAACACAGTACAGAAGAGTCGTGTGGAGGGGAGTGGGGGGAGTGGAGTGGAGAGAGAACAAACAGTCAGAAGAGCAACAATAGCAAGCCACACTTTATGGCTTAATAAGCAGCAAACGAGAGAGAGGGCGGGCGGAGGAGGAGGCAGATCTGTAAGAGGCCAGCCCTTTTATGCTAAATGTTAAAGACCAACAAACACTCGACGATGGCCTTCCGTTGTTCTGTTCTTTTCCGTACGGTTCTGGTTCTGCTTTATGACAAACTAATAAATGCATAAAGTTTTCAATTTTCAACGGCTTCTGTTGGAGGTGGCAAGCGTGTGAGAGAGGCAGCAGCAGAGACACATACATACATATGTATGTACATATGTATGCATATGCATGAGACTGCCGAGTGTGCAAGGCAGGAGAAAAGAGTTATAGCTATTCAGAAAATTGCAGTTATATTTGCCAGAGAGAGAGCGAGAGAGCTTTTGTGTGCACAGTGGAGGGACATAAAAAAAAAGCAAACAGAAATTCAGTTGGAAATTTCTCAAGAAAGCACAAAACAAACACACATCTATTTTCAGACTTCAACAGTTTCGCGATACGAAACTTTTATTATTTCCCTCGCATAATTTATGCAGCTTTAATTCAGGGGGTGTTGCCTGTTTGATTGGCGGCAATTTCGGCCGGGGGCCCTCTTCCTTTCCTTGGTTTGTTACGCAGTTTGGCAAACGCAAAAAAACACAAAAAACCAAAAAGCAACAACAGAAAACGAATGCTAGACTCGAAGTTCGAAACTTGTGATACCCTCGACGGCAATCTTTTGATTGTCATCCAGCAAGCCACTAAACTGTATGAAAATATATTTAGGCAGAAAGCTTAAAAAATAGATGTATTATGGGACCGAAAATTGCCATGCGAAAAATCAGAATACCCACTCCAAGGGGTATAAAAAAGAGCACACCCAACGGCACGGCACCCAAATGTGAGGCAATTAAAAAAGTCAAGTCAAGCCGCAAGTACTCAGGGAGCGATAAAAGAGAGTGAAGAGAGCAAAGCAAACAACAACAGAAAGCAAAGCAGAGCAGAGCAAACTTGCGATTAAATGAAAACAAATGAACTGTTTATTTAACGCGCCTCTGGCTGTGCGCACAGGAGGGAGACAGATGGACAAAGATTACTTGACCACACGCTGTGTGAGACAGAGCGCGAGTGGGAGGGAGTGAGAGTGGCAGTGGCAGTGGTAGTGGGAGTAGGAGTGAGACACGCAGAGCGTTTAATTTAATTTCTTTGAAAGCTCAAGAACAAAATGTTTGGCATGCCAGAGGACAGGACAGGACAGGACAGAGCAGGACAGAACAGGACACGTGTGACAACAGCAGCAGCTAAATCACGTGAGGGCCAAAGCAAACTAAACCAAAATAAAAGGAATAACCGTTAAAGTTCTGTCATCAAAACGCAACTGGAATTCCCCTAATGGCATTTGGGCAGGCGACGCACTTAATGAGAACCCGACACCCGCTCACTCCACCCCCCTTTTGGGTGCGGCCAGTGGGCTAATATTCAATAAAAAGTTATGCTCATGTGGCCATGTAAAAAGGCCACCGGTTAATTAATTACGCCCCCTCTGGGTTAAGCTCCAAAAAGTAGCGTTAAATCTTTCAGTTTTCTCTTTAGCATAGCTAATGGTAACTGTCGGGGGTGTGGAAAATGGGCTGGTGGCTGCGGGCTGGGGGGGGCACCACTTTTATGACTAAATTTCAATTTCAAAGCAAACAGAACCGAAACAAAGGCAACCCAACAAAAACAGCAAAAGCATTAAACACAAAAACCGAAATAATGAAGCCCATTTAGTAGCGTCATTAAATGAGTTGAGCAAAAGACTAGAGCAGTAGTGGGGAAGCGAGGAAGAGCAGAAGAAAGAGCAAAGACAACTGTAATATGGAACGTTAATAACGCGTTACATTTGCAACTTCATCTCTCTCTCTTTGCCACCCTTTATGCTTTATGCGTGCGCGTTGTGTGTGTGTGTGAGAGACAAATCAACTTTGCTTACAAATTATGACTAAACTTATTCAAATGAGGCTGACTTACAGTTAGCCCAAAGAGAGGGAGAGCCGCACAAGAGCCCAAGAGAGCGCGTAACTGCAGTCACTAGAACGAAGCGACAGCGCTGCCACTGCCCGGCCTCTGTCTCTGCCACAGTCGCTGCTTAATTAAAATGTGTAAAGTCAGCAAAAGGCAATGTCGAAGCCCAGTGATAGAAAGAGAGAGAGAGAGAGCGACAGCATCGAAGCCCTGCGATGGAATGAGACAGAGCGAGGGAGTTTAGCGGGGGAGACAGCGAGAGCGACAGAGGGAGACAGAGCCCGACCCCAGCGAATCCATCATTTCCGCTTCCATGCGTTTGGCCAGCAACCAAAAAAAAAAAATAAAATAAAAAAAAAACACACGAGAGAGAAAAAAAAACATAAAAATGACTGAGAAACAGCTGAAAAATGTGGCCCTTTGTTGGTTGGTGTTGTTGCTGCAACATTGGCAAGCACAGTGCCACAAGAAAGTCTGCACACAGAATGTACCAGAAATACACAGACAAAAAAAGATGCTTAGGATCATTACATATTAATGCAACATGCGTTTCCCGTTGAAAATAATATTACGAATTATTAAATAATAATATTTCACATAATTTCATGTAGCGTAAAATAACATTAACTTTTTTTCAGTGTATAAGAAATAGCATATAAGAATCGCAAACTTTTCCATCCACACTGCTCCATTGATTTTGATTAATTTCCCATAATCCTCATATTTTTGTGCATTCTTTTTTGTTTTTTGCAGAGGGTCGCGAGTGCGTGAACTGTGGCGCCACATCGACGCCACTGTGGCGACGCGACGGTACGGGACACTATCTATGCAATGCCTGTGGCCTATACTACAAGATGAACGGCCAGAATCGACCCCTGATCAAGCCAAAGCGAAGACTGGTAAGTCCTATCCCTAGCCATAACTTTTGGTCCATCTATAAGTATGCCAAGCCGCGGGGCTCCGTCATCAAATTAACTAATAAATTCAGCAACTGCAGAGAAAGACAGAGAGACAGAGAGACAGAGAGAGAGAGATTCCTGGGAAATCGCTGCACATAAGCATCCATCTTGGGGCACGTTTCTGTCGCCAAGGGTCATAAAAAGCAGCGTGAAAGTTCTCAAATGTCATAATACTCGTACGATTCCGGGAACCAGAGAGAGAGAGACACACAGACACAGACAGAGGCTCTCACAATTCCACAGTCGCACCACTGATTGCATTTAGCTTGGGAAAAAATGGTTTTGATTTGGAGTCTGACTTGATAACGATCGAGGTGCATCATCATTATCACTTAGCGCACTAAAAACATAATCAGACAACAGCAGCCAGCAGCAAGAGTCAAGTATGTGTGTGGGTCTGAAGAGCCATCAGCATCATCAGCAGCAGCAGCAGCAGCAGCTAGCAACAAACTATTGGAAATATACGAGCATATTGGGTAAGCCCATGTCTGTCGCAGGCGCCAGCCAACGAATGACTTAGGCAACGAACGCAAAACACGGGTAGACGGGTGGACGGGGGGTGGGGTAACCAACACGATTCAGCCAACCAACCACACAAAAAATTGGTCTATTAAAGATGCGTAAAAAGGCAGGCAACAACCTTAACAACCACAAACAACAAACCGAACAACCACATGAACAACCAAACTGTTAAACGCTCGCTTGGCGTTGATTTTTTATTGGCATTTAAATCGTATGCATTTTGATTGCATAACATTAACATAAATAAACCATTATTGCTCCCCTCTCTGGCCCATCTCTCTTTAGCAGCTCCTCTGTGACGTGGCTCGAGAGGGAATTCCCAAGAAATTCACAGCTGGAGAGCAGCTCCAGCTCCAGCACCAATTCCAGCTCCATTCTCTGGTGGAGCCCTCTCTTTCTCTCTCCCTCTCTCTCCCTCGTTCTCTCTCTCTCCCTGTGGAGGTGGAACTGATCGAAAAGTGTTTGTTTGTTGATTTTTTCGTTGACAAAATATGCAACAAATTAAAATTTATGTGGCACTCAGCTGACTTATGGCCCTGGCTAAGGGGGTCTCTCTGCCACACAGCTCTAACCCCTCTCTCGCCACACCGCTCGCTGCTCTTTTTCACTTCTCTTTGCTCTCTGCTTGGCTCACTTTTGTGGCACAGGATGCGGCCCATCAACATCAAATGTCCTTTAGCTGCTTGAAATGCAATTCAATTGTTTAGCTGTGCTGCTCGGCCACTGCTTCACTGTTGGCCCTTTTCCTCCTCCTCCTGCTGCTCCTCCTGCTCCTCCTCCTCCTTCTCCTGCCCCCTGAGGCTGACCATTGATTTTGTTGGCCAAAACTCTTTGGGTGGCAATTGTATTGATTCTGTATTCGTCCGCCAGTCCAGTCGCCGGCGATCAGAGAGGGTCAAGATCTGTTTGAGTTTTGCATACAAAGTTGAGTGGATGCTGCACCTGCCCCTCTCTGCCAGAAGGGGTTTTAGGGGAGGTGGGGAGGAGGTGGGTCCAAGGATAGTCCAAGGGTAGGGGATCTCATTGTCTGCTTTGGGGCCGCCTTTAATTAACTTTCCGAATTGTATGAAAACAGTCAACAAGTCGTTACTCTTTTGCCTGCAAAAATTCTCTCTGTTTGCCTCTTTGTGGATGCATTGGTGGTTGCTGCTTTTGTTGCTGTTGCTGAAACAGAAACAGAACAATGCAAATTTTTAATTTATGTATTTTAGCCTGCAACTCAGTTTCAGTTTCAGTTTCTGTCGGAGTTTGAGCCTGAGTCTCTGTGTTTCTTGGCAACGTTCGCTTACATATGTTTTCCAGTTGTTTTCGCTGTTGTTCTGCTTTTGTGCTGCGGCCCGAACCAAACCGAACCAAACCAAACCGGGCTAAGCAGCCCGCTGGCAACGCAATTATTGCATTTAATTATAAGGCCCAAAAAATAAAGCTTTTATAAGCGTTAAAGTATCGCTTTGTTTTCGCTTTTTTTATTTTGCTGTCGCCCTCAGGCTGTGCGCCGCGCTATGAATGTGGGGGGGAGGGGCCTAGCCTTTGGTTCCAGCCTTGACGGAGATTTGTCACATTTGGCAGGGCAAATGGCAGGGTGACCTTATAGACAGTACAGATTGCCACTAACAGATTTTAATTTGTACAGTGAATTAATTTCAGCATGAAAGTCAATCCATAAAGCTTTCAACTTATTTCTTATTCAATTATTTATAAATATCTTATCCATTTGTCTGAAATTTGTCTTACAATGCCGATACGCACTGTCCAGATAAACTTTTGTATAGCTATGGCTAATTGCCGATCCATGTTAAATCCGCCAGTCGACAAAGAACACAAACGTGGGCTGGCTGGGGTCAATCCGGAGTCTCCGGAGTCGAGGCGAGGCGAGGCAGCTGCTCATCTCAGAGATCGTGACTTATATAAGCAGCATGTGTGTACATGTGTGTATTGGTTGGGGGGAGAGGGGCTTGGCGCTTGCATTTTGCATAATATTTATGCCTCAGGTTGCTGCTGCTGCTGCCGCTGGTGTTGTTGCACTTAATTTATGCGAATTTTCACACAGTAAATTGAACAAAACGACGGCCACGTCAGGCAATGCAACAAAAAGAAGCAAAGGAAAAAAATGGAAAATATTTATCTGTATGTTTATTACATTGTCTTATGTCACAAACAAATAAAAACACTACAAAAGCGCTGCCCATATCCATTTAGAAATAGTTAAACAATAAACCCATCAACACTTGACACAATCGTTTATAAATGCATTTAGAAAGAAAGAGAGAAAAAAAACAAATCGAGCTCAAAGCGTAATTAATTATTAATCCGAAGGCGTATTTCAACGCTAACAACTCAACAGCCATAAACAAATAACAATAAATGATTAAATGCAGCACAGCGGGAAAGATAAAATAAATAAATACAAAAGAAAGTCAAACCGAAGCTTTTGCATACCCTTGCATGAACTTCCACCTGGAAATATAAATTTGAAGCTGAGGCTGATTAAAAATATATAAACTTTAAACGTTTTCAAGAGTATATTGTTCAACGACCTCTCAGCGGGCTGTAAAAGTTTTCTTTAAGCAACACAGAGATCAAACTAGATCCAGAAAGACAGCCAGTTTACCAGTGCACAAATAGGTAGGGGGAGAAAACTAATTAACACATTTTTTGGGGCCAGCTGTGGCATGCCATCCCCTCCGTATCCGAAGCATATCCATCGCATCCCATCCTTGTTGGCGTGGGAAAAATCCGCTGTCTCTGTTGTAGGCAGTGACGCTCCCAAAATTGAATGCAGAAGATCCCAGAGACGAGGACGATCGATAAACGAACGACAGCCAAATCAAAACTAAAGCAAAGCAAAGCAAAACAAAAAATGTATTATAAAAAAAAAAAACAAAAAAGGAGAAGGGCTCCAAGTAAAAGTTCAATGCACGTGGCTGCTTCTTCATCAACTGCCCCAAAACGGGGCGTATACGCAATCGAGAGCATTAAGGTTTTTTTTCGTGGTTTATTTTTTTTTTTTTTTATTGGGGCGCTAGGATCTTGTTAAGCGGGGGGCTAATGTTATTAAAATGCACTTGAAAAAACACAGAAGGCCCTGGGCCAGGGACCTGATCAGAGGGACGACAGAGGGACTGCTGCAACAGTTTCGTTGCTGTTGTGGCTGCTGTGGCAGCCTCGCAGATCAATTAAAAATTAACGATATGAAGCGCAACGCAGCAAAAACGGGGCGTGCCCATAATAATAATGAAAGAGGCTCAAACGCAGGCTCAAAGGCAGGTCCAGCGAAAGGGTTGCCAGGCACTCTTCAGATGATTAAGGCCCAAAGAGTTTGGGACCTTTTTTTCTCCTGTTTTTTTTTTGTATTATTTCGCTGGCTTGTTAAGTGAGAATTCAGCCTTTGCTTTCGCTTTTTGGGCCAGCGCTCTCCCTCCGCCTCGCTTTGCTCTGTATGCCACCCCCTAAGAAATTTATGGTGACTGTTTAATATGCAAATGCATAATTTTGCACAGGTTTCGCCTGCTCCCTGCTCACTATGCTGAGGGAGGGAGGGAGGTAGGGTTGCCAGTGCACTTTCTAACCCTTTTTCCATTTACAGACAACGAACACGCAGTCCGAGGGGTCAGGGGCTGGGGTTGTGCGCGTGTCTAGCAAACATTCATTTTGGTGGCCAGTGGCCAGTGACCAGGCTCCACCTTGCCTCGTGGCTGGTTCCATAATTTATTTGGACTGTGCCAGTGCCTAGGGCCTGTGTTCCTGGGGCCCCATTCAATGGCCGGTGACAAATATTAATGGCAATTCTCATGCCCTCCAATGGGTCCAGTGGGACCGGACCAGTGGAAAACTTAAGCATAGTAGACAGTCTGTTGCAAGTCTAGTCAGTTGCATTTGTCATGCACTCAACAAAATTGATGAGATTTATTTACTTACGGTTCGAATCTTAGGCTCTTTTTTTTAGGTGTTTCTACTGCGTTTTCTTCAGTTTTTCTTTACTTTTAAATTGTTTGTTTTCCTGACAATCACTCCCACTTTCTCACTGTGTAGCTGAACCTGCAGTGGCGCCTCCTGCGAATGCACAACAAAAGCCAATGTGGGGATTTGAGACATGTCCAGGCGACAAGTTCGCCTCAAAGAGCCTTCACCTTTTGCCTTTCCGTGGCCATTCCATTCCCCCTGCAAGCTCGTAAAATTCATTGAGCAGCATTAATGAGCGACATTAATGGCTTGTTTCTGTTTGCTGGCCATAAACCATTTTATTGATTTTTTTACCTCCATTCCGGCGGGGCAGGTGTGATTTTTAGCAACAGTTTCGTGCCGCGGCTGTGGCTGTGGCTGCGGCTGCGGCCCGAGCATGGAAATGAGCTGAGCTGATGTTTTAATTAGTCAAATTAGCCGAAGAGCAAGGAGAGGCCAGAATAGCAGCAACTTCACACAAATACCCCAACCCGAACCCAAGCCGGGACACGCCTCCTTTTTGGAGGTTTAGGGAACAGCTGCAGAGCCACAGAAAGTAGAAAAGGATGATAGGGAAATGAAACGGTATGAAAATAATGATATGAAAAAAAACGAAAGAAATGTCAAAAATACTAAAGAAATAGAAGAGCAAAAAGTGAGAAGATCTAATCGGACGGAATGATACAAAAAATGTCACACAAAAAACTCAGGACTACGCAAAGGCAACGCGAATGGATGGGTGTGTAGTAGAATGAGGCCCACGAGGACATTTTCCTTTGGGCCAATAAAATTTGAATTTTTAAATTAAATTTCACAGTCAGACAAACACACACAAGGACACACGGACACACACACACAGAGCTATACACATTCAGCGTTATAAATGTAACTGTTATGTGCCAGACACAAGCCTCCAACCGCCCAATTTCAGCCCGCATCAGCCCCATTTTGTTGGGGTTTCCTCCTGCTGCTGCTGCTCCTGCTCCTCCTCCTGCTTTCCTTTTGGCCCTCTGTCTCTCTGCCCCTTGTACAGCATCAGATATAGAAATTTTCTGCACGCTATCTTTTTGCCATCTTTCCTGGCTGTACATCTCTGGGGGAAGCAAAGTGTGGGCTGACGAGCTCCAAAACAACCCCCAGAAAGGGGGCGGCCATGCGCTCTAAGCCCTGGCTGAGGGTTGCCACCAGCAGCAGCGGCAAGCAGCAGAGAGGACTGCGAAAAATTTAATGAATGTTTTGTTAGATAACGAAAGAAGTAGAAAAGCGAACAAAAAAAAAAATGAGTTGATAAAATGTCCCCAACACAGATAGAAAGAGATAGAACGAGGGAGAGAGAGAGAGGAGAGAGAGATAGCCTCACTCACTGCCCGCAAGTGAAAGATGTTACACTGAGATAAGACTGTTACATCTACACACTCTCTCTCTCTCTCTCTCCCACCCACTCTGTCTCTCGCTGTCCATCCCTCTTGCTCCCTCTTGGCTTGCCATCTTGACTGTGTCCCGTTGCGTATCTGAGATGGCAAAGGGCATTGCCATTGCCCGTCTCAAAAGAGAGCGCACACAAAAGCTGCGCAATAAATAGAAATGCAGAAGAAGAGATGGCAGCAGTAGGCGTGGGTGGGAGGAGGCAACATATATTTACTTTGTACATATTTACTCTGCCACCCACTCCACTCCCCAATGCTTCTGAGGGTCTGCTGCTGCTACTGCCACTGCCACTGCTTGCCCTTCTGCGCTGAGCTTCGCTCTATGTTTTACTTACAATTAAATATTTAAATGTTTTTTGTGTGAGTGTTCCTGAAAATGAAAACGAAATTTGCATAAAGCAACAAAAGTCTAAGAGAAATATGAGAAGCAAATAGCATGAAAAAACATGAGAAGCAGAAGAAAGATAAGCCAGCAGAGGCGACGACCATTTTGTGGGGAATGGTCAACAAAATATATATAAATCAAGTAAAGAGCAACAAAGGTGCCAAAAACAACAACAGTGAACAATGATGGATTTTGGCTATGCTACATACATATACCCTGCGATACGCATACCTACTATTATTCTGGTTAAATGTTTGTTCATTCGATTTGGATTAAAATTTTTTTTAAATTTTTTCCGAGAATTTAAATTTTTAACTTACACCCAATCGAAGTTGACTTCTTTTAGGCGCTTTAAGCTGTTTAAAATCGTAATACCCTTTTCAAGGGTGTCCAATACAAGAGGTAGCAAAACAGTGAGAGCAAAAAGTCACAGCCACAGCAACAACAGTGAGAGAGACCAAAAAGTCACAGCACTAACAATGCAAACGCATTTTGTCATGCATTGATAAATCACAATTTATGGGCAGCAAACATCATGCAACGAAAGCAACTACAACTCATGTAGCAGAATGTGAGAGTGCACACACACACACCAACACACACACACAACATTTTCTGTGCCGTGCTTTTGTTATTAATCGCAAGCGCCATCTTGTTTTGTATGATTGTTGCTTTTGTTGTTTTGGCGCTTGCGCTTTTTGCATTTCAATTAAACCCCAAACGCCTGTCAATGTCTGACAGTTTGTCAATTTTTCCCATCATCATCTCCTCCTCTCTCTCCACCATTCATTCACTCACTCTCTCTCTCTCGCACTCTCTTGGCTACGATTGCATTGACATTGATTTATGTGATTTGCTTTGTTAAGGTTATGTTGCCTTTGTGAGGTTATGTTTGGCTGGAATTGAGGTTATGTTGGTTGCTCTTTAGGCGTACAAGCCTGATTGAATTGACACTGTTGGCCAACAGAAGTTGCACGCCCACCACCACATCCCATATCGAAACCAGTTGAAATGGGAATTGGAATGGGAATGGAATGCGATCTGGCGATCCTGTTTGTCACTCTATCTCTACCTCTCTCTTTCTCAGTTTCTGTGGTGTTTTGTTGCATTGTCATGTTAACAACTTAATTTATATACGCTTAAGCATTTTGGCCATGTCCTCGCCAAAGTCTGTTGCAAGAGTCCCCACATAATTACCACAAAACTTCCAGCCTGAATCTTTGTGTCTCTCTCTATCTCTCTCTCTCTCTCTCTGACCATCCGTCTCTTTCCCGCCTTGTAGGCGTTGAAATTAATTTTGAATTTCTCACTTTTTCGCATTTGGTTGAAAATGTTACAAGCTCGTTAACACAAGACAGTGCCACCAAAAAAAAAAAAAGAAATAAAAAAAAAATGCAGACACCCAAAGCAAAAGCAAAACCAAAGCAAAGATAAAGAGATATAGAGGAACAGATAGAGGGGGCCCTTGCCATATGACCTCTGATTTATGTTAATCGCCAAATCGAGAACAGGTGAGACACAAAACTAAACAGATCGAGATCAGCTCAGAGCTGAAGCTGTTGCTGTAGCTGGATCTGGAACTGGGGCTTTGGTTGGGTTGCCTTGGCTTGTCTTGGGCTGGAGCTGGAGCTGAGGCAGAGGCAACAATTAAAAATCAAAGTCAAACATGATCAACGCCAGTTTAAGGCCTCGTAGCCATGTGTTGTACCAGCAGCCCGAACACAAGCCCCACCAACTGGATGACTGGAAGGGTATACACACTCGTACGTACTCGTACTACATACAGCACGCTGTGTTGTGGACGGGGGGGCGCAGGGTACGCTATAACGAAGACCAAAACGCAGACAAAGTTTGTGCCACAGAGTGTGCTGCTGCTGCTGCTGGTGCTGGGGCACTAGGGAGTGGGGCGATCCAAGAGGGAACTCTGCTGGGTTTTTGGGCTCTTCGTTCTTCGTTCTCCTCTCGTGGGTTCTTTTGGTTCTTCTTAGTTCTTGTAGCCAATTCGTGGAAATTTAAGCGTGGCACAGACATGATCCCTCCTTGTTGCTGTGCTGTTGTTGTTGTTGCTGCTGTTGTTTTTGGGCAGTTTTGTAAAAATTGTCATTTTAATGAATTGATGCTGCTGTTAACCCAAGTCGAAGGCCCCAGCTTTGGGTCCAGCCAGGAGTTGGAGTTGAAGTTGAAGTGAAGCTGAGCAGCTGGTGGAGTGAGGAGGTTTGGGGTTTGAGTTTGCTTTTGGTATGCCATTTAAAAAATGCTGTTGCCTGGCGTGTTGAGCAACTTTGTTTGGGTTCTGTGCAGAGGGAGAATGGAGGTTATGGGTATGGGTACTGTGCGTTAGTTTTGGCGCTGTTCAATTAGCTGATCGACTGCATTAGCATAATCAATTTTGGGTGGGGAGGGGAAGTAGCTTAACCAGCGGATATCCTTTAGTAACCCTTCATTTTTCTTCTATTTTCCAGACACTGCAGTCGCTGCAGAGTGCGGCCAAGCGGGCGGGTACATCCTGCGCCAATTGCAAGACCACAACCACAACCCTTTGGCGGCGCAACGCCAGCGGCGAGCCCGTCTGCAACGCCTGCGGATTGTACTACAAGCTGCACAATGTAAGTACATCCTTTAAAGATATTTCAACCCATCCATAGATCACTGGTCATCGGAACCCACACCCACACCCCGCTCCCTCATAGAACAGCAGCTTCATCGATTTACGATTTAAGCGATTTCATGCCACATTTAACCGTCCCCGTCCAGTCTGGACCATTCCATAAGTGTCGGACGGAGCGCACAGATTAAATGTGACAAAAATGAAGTGTCTCCCCACCCCCCATCCCGGGGGGTTGGAACTTCCGTTTAGCTTCTTCATTTGTTGCCCCAGCAGGTTGCACCCCTCGTGATGAATGGCTGATGATTATTTAAAGATGCCAGTTAGCCAACCAACCAACCAACCACCCTCTCAACGGGCAGCGGCAGCACACACCACCCCCTGCGACAGCGATAAGCGTCTAGTCTGGTGTTTGGCTGTGAAAATGCGATAAGCTTTTCCCAGATTTCGGTTATGGCCAACGCGTGGCAGGATGCAAGGACCATCTCCCCCTTTTTAGCTACGAATCGGGGTAATTTATGTAATCGAGCACCAGCTAAACTGCATTGGATTGAATAATGTTATGTCACCCCCCGGCCACCCGTTCTTATTAAATATTCATTAGCCACGCTTTTCAGGGGGATAAGCTCAAGTTTTTCTTCGTTTTCCCGTCCCTTTGTCCCTTTTTTTCTTTGGGTTTTTCTATCTTGGTTTTTTCTAAAACTTTTAGGATTCCCCGCGGCAAGTTTTTAATGAGTTTTGCGGGCTGAACTTTTGGCACATTTACATGTCAGTGGCCCCTAAGTGATGGGCCACCTGTCTGGCCCCACTGTCTCTCCGGCTGGGAAAACTAATTAAGTTGCGGCCTGCCGCCTGCCACTTGCCACATTGCCGCATGGGAGGAAAACTGCACTGCACTTCGATGGCTATCGGCAAAGGCGAAATATTTTTAATTGAGCCCGGCCATAAAAGGCAAATATCAAAGAGTGCTCCATTTTCGCTAATCTGATTTGAGACTGCGGGAAGAGAGCAAAATAAATAAAAAAAAAACCACCAATTTTGCAACGTGCCACATGCGGCATATGTATGCACTTTGGGTGGCTTTTCTTACAGCGAAATGTATTTTTGCGAGCATTTTCCCGTCAATTGGACAGTGGCCCATCGCGATAAGATGCCAATCAGCGCACATTTTTGTAGCTATTTCCATCTCTCTCTCTCTCTCTCGCTCGCTCTCCCTCTGTCTCCCTGTATCTATTGCTGCCTCTCTCTGTCGCGCAGTTCATTTCAATTCAATTCGTTTGCTATTCGGCCCGGTCGCCTGTGCGGGCCACACTTCAAGCTCAAGTGATTGGCACATTTTATGGAAATTTTGCCGTACAGTGGGGACTGGCTAGGAGCACTTTTCCCCCGCTCCCAGCTGTATTCCCCTATGGGGAGTGCGAGTGCGAGTGTGCTCTCTTCTTCATACGCTTTCCGCACACTTGCTAAATCTTCTGGTCTGTTATCTGGCATCTGCTGGCATTTCCTTGGAACTGTGAGCCTCATCATGTTAATTAACAGCAAATGAGACAATTGCTGAGCATCGCCTGATAATCTTTATCTCTGCTTATCTCGCGAGGAGCAAGAGAGAGAGAGAGAGATGCGCTGCCCGCTGTGCACCGGCTGGGTGAGTGTGTTGTCCTGGACAATAACTCATAAAGGTGACCTAACGGTGCCCGGCGCGCCGACAGGGCTGCCTGCTGGCCTGCAGCCTGGCGCCGTCTCGCTCTGACCTGACGACCCCCTCCTACACATGTCTCACACAATTTGCCGACAACAGGCCAGTGTCTCTGTCTCGCTACTTGTTTGCATCGGGGACTTGCATCGGGGCTGTGTGCAAGAGTGTGTGTGTGTGTGTGTGGATGGTGGATGTGATGTGGGTGGGCCCTGCTGTCACATTGCAAGTCAACTGCAGCGGCGCGTGTGTGCGCTCCACGCTCGATTTAGATTTTATGCATAAAAAAAAAGTTAATCTGCAGATGCTGCTGCTGATTCTGCTGCTGCTGTTGGTGCTGCTCCTCGGAGTGCATTTTCCTGTGAATTCCCTAATGATCAGGGCCTGTGTGCATTAACAACTTTATGCTTTGTTGCTGCATATCAATTAAAGCTTAAGCGCAGCTGCCGACTTGCTAATTGCCACAATTTGCGCTAAACGCTAGAGAGACTATCAATTACGTGGGCTGTGCCGCTGGGCACTGCCGCTGCCGATCTCGCTAAGTGATCTTGATACAGTTTTTGTTCAGCTTATGTATACTCCCTCCATCCCCTTTCCGCATCCGACTCTGTAAGTGATACGTTTGGCTGGGACAATCATGATCAGATCAACCCCCCGAAATGCACTCAAATCTCGGCACTTCAGAACTCTCTTTTTCTTTTCTATGTGCCGGCAATTTAACAATTTCTCTGTGTTTGCTTTTTGCAAGGGAAGAAAAAAAAGGCACAAACAATGTCGTATAATTCACGCCCAGGTAAGGGAGAACCACACAGCGCCCTACTCTGCTCTGCGCTCTCTCTTTGTCGCTCGCTCTTTGTAATGTAACATTTCGTTATTTCCTTTTGTCATTGCTGGCTGCTGCTGCTGCTCCCTCCTCCTCCTCTCCTTCTGCTGCTGCTGTTGTTATACCCTAGCAGGGGATATTAGGACTTTATACAAATTGTTTAAAGCGCAGGAAACAATCTTGATCCAATACCTGCCATACATTTTGTGTGCCACCGAGGGAATAGTCTGAAACTTAATTTTTGCTGCACTGTAATTTGCAAGTATAGCTGCCATAGGAACAAACAAATCTGCAAGAGTATCTAAAGCTTCGGCTTCTTGCCGCTGGCTGCTCCTAGCTGCCTCTTCCGCTGGTGTTGGTGCGCTGGGAATAGGGTAACTCAATATTGTAATTGTAGCGCAATGAAGCGCATGCTGCCGCTTAGATGTTCGCAAGTGATAAGCGATTGCATATGAAGAGAGCCCAGCAGCAGCCGCAGCAGCAGCAGCAGCAACAATGGCATTGGCCAAGGGAAGACTACGACAACAGCAGCGCTGTAGCGAACGAGAGCACAGCGCACTGAGAGGGAGAGAGGGCACACAAAAAAAAACAAAAAAAAGTTGCCCGGGTGCCGTTGGCAGCGCTTATCAGCGCCAACTAATCGCATTCGCAAATGTCGCTTATCTGATCGTGTAGAAATGCTTGTAATACTTCATTTTCACTTCCCGGTTGCACTCACACACAAGCACACAAGCACAGACACTCGTAGCACCCCCTCCCTCGCACCAACACCAACTGGTAGAGTTGCAACTGCAACAGACAGCGTGTGCAGCTAGCGGCATTTCCGGTCCATGAATTTGCATAAATTTGACCCATTTTAGTGGTCAGACGCCGAGTTTTTTTCTTTTCCTTTTTTTTCCTTTATTGATTTTCCCGCACAAAAGTTTTCACCTCCATTTTTGTTTCCCCCTACGCTTTACAGGTCAATCGTCCGCTCACCATGAAGAAGGAGGGCATACAGACGCGTAACCGCAAGCTGAGCTCCAAGTCCAAGAAGAAGAAGGGTCTGGGCGGCGGCTGTCTGCCGATGGGCGGCCATCTGGGCATGGGCGATTTTAAGCCTCTGGACCCCTCCAAGGGCTTCGGCGGTGGCTTCTCTGCCTCCATGGGTAAGCATCATCTCTGCTCCAGTTCCAGCTGCAGCTGCATCTGCATCTGCCTTCTGCAGCGCCAATTAAACGGTTGTCACTCATACTAACGCCTGTTCTCTTCATTTGTTTCTCTCTCTCTCTCTCTCTCTGTGTGTTTAGCGCAACATGGACACCTTTCGAGTGGATTGCATCCGGCGCATGCGCATATGCATGGCAGCTGGTATACCGGCGGCATGGGGGCCTTGGGAGCATCCAGTGGCCTGCAGGGAGGCTTCTCCACCGCTGGTTCTTTGGGCGGCGGTGTAGTGCCCCACTCGCAGCCCTATCACTTGGGACTCAGCTCAATGGTGAGTACTACTAAAGAGTTGCGAGCAGCTTAAAACACTCAAGGCTTCGGCAAAGCTCTGCCTTGCGAGTGGATTCCATTGAGAGCTTTCTTACTAATGCTTTACTATCTTTCTGCTCTCTCTCTCTGTCTCGGTCTCTTGTAGGGCACCTGGCGCACAGACTATACGTGATGGAGCGGTAATAACTTGAACAATAATCTGTTCAGTTAATGCCACAAATGAGAAGCAATCCAGATGCAAACAAATACAACAAACACAATGCCAAACTGAGGACTCCTTGACAGCCAGCCCTGGACAGCCACAGCCCGTTCGCTATTAGCCCTTGAGATCCACACACCCACACATAATCGTATGTGTGGATGGTACATATGTATGTACATACATATATGTACATAAGTATGTGCGAGTGTGCCAGTGATGCCCAGGCGCTGGTTTTTCCTAATTGTAAACATTGCGTGCAATTTTTAATTATTTAAGCTTTCGTTTTGTTGCTGTCGAATCGGACCGGACTCCGTGCCGAGTGAAGCCCGCAACAATAACAACAACAACAACAAAAAACCCCATTAAAATTAATTAAAGGGCTGCACATTTATTTGTATTTTATTTTCGCCTTTATGGCTTCTCTGTTTCATATTTCGCTTAATTAATTTAATTTCTCTCAGCGTATTCAATTGTGCTTTATGAACTGCCATAAAAAACAAAACGAAACGAAACAGAAACGAGAGGGAAAGAGCAAGTTTCATAAATATTTATTGTGTATATATATTAACAAAAAAAAAAGAAGAAAAATCAAGCACATAGAGAACTAAAAATTATTGCTACAAAACAAAAGCAGACAAAACACCGTTACAACGCACGTCCAAAAGAAGAGAAAAGAAAAGAGTTTTGTAAAATAAAAGTTACAAATAAAACGAAAACGAAATGAAAGACGATTGTCCTAATTCGCGGAATGCAATTGAAAATTGCACAAAATACTTTATAGCGTATGCCTACTGTAAACTAGTTAAATTCTTAGACTCTAAACAAAACAGACGTGATAAACAAAAAATGAAAAAATCTATATATATAAATATTCACTAGGGAGCGCCCTTAGCCATTGTAAAATAAATTTAATACAAACAAAAAAACTAAATCAGAAAGCAAATATATATAAATATTTCAAAGAGCCAGGGCCGCACCCAACTTTTAACTAACAAGAAACACACACATACACACACACACACTTAAATGTTCAATGTTTAAACCTAAGTCTTAAAAATATATACACAAAACAAAAACACATTAATGCATAGAAATAAACATAAAGTACTAAATTTAATTAAATTAAATTAAATTAAATGTTAAAGGCAATTTGTAAAATACATTTGTTAGCAATTTTTGTATAATTTTAGCAAAAGCCAGAAAAGGCGAAAACCTAAAAAAAAACAAAAGCAAAAACAAGAAGAGCAAATCCTAACCATGTATACTCCTAAGTTCTGTGTAAAAAGCCGGTTTAGTCGTAACCCTAATTTATGTGTCCCCACTACGATATACATAACTATCTATATATATAGAGCTATAAATATGTATTATAAGCGATAAATGTATTGTAATTTGGCCATATTGATAGTTGAATATACACAAAAACCAAGCAACATAATGTTTATTTAAAATCGAAAAACAAAAACAAAACAAAAAATCAAATGGAAAATTGTACTAAACTTAATGGCAATCACCAGAAAAATCCAACAAACAACAAAAAAAAATCATAAAAATAAATAAAAATAATTTATGAAGAAACAAATATACATAAAATACGAAAAATACAAAAAGCAAACGATTCTAATTGAGAACGGTAACTGAAGATGATTAATTGCCGCCGGATGAGTGGACACAATATCGAAATTGGTTTGGTAATAAATCCCCCCGTGAGCTGCGGACCCAGAATGATGTCTTCATAATGGCCATTTATGCTTATGAATCGGTCTTTAAATTTCGATGCGTCTTTTGGTACACCAGAAACGTGCTTCAATTGGGGTTTCTACTGGTGCTGTTTTGGTTTTGGTTTTTGGGTTCGGTTCGATTCTGTTCTGTGTTGGTCATTTGTTATGCAGCATTTGTTGCTGGCCATTGAACGCTTGAATTATGAGTTGTTTGGAGGCGTGAAATGGCATGTTCTGCCACAAGAATAGCGCCGCAGAGCACCAGAGCACCAGAGCTACTCAGCAGTGGCCAAGTTTGTTGCCTAAGTCTTTTGTACTTCAATTTGAATGTGCGCAGTCCAGAATTAAGCTACGAAAACTCAACCGAGTTATGTTCTAGCTGCCAAAAACCTGATCGACACAGAATCGAACTATGGGAACTATGGGAACTATGGGAACTATGGGAACACCACACGGATCTGTTAATGGTGCCATCAACATGACAAACGCGTGTCTACTACCCATTACCCAGGCCCTAACCAGACGAACAATATGCAATGCAATGATGACCCCATTAGGTTTTTGTCGCCCCTGCATCCGTTTCCGCTGAACCTTGCCAAAGGTTTTTTTTTTCTGTTCGCGATTATCAATTTTCCCAAATGCTAACAATAATATGAATACGCAGCTATCGGCCGGGTATATCTCATATATCTCATGGCGGTGCAATAATTGGGACAACAATTAAGTGCACGGCACGACAGGGCACTACGAAGCAAAAATGCAGCCAAGCAAGTCCATATTGTTCAGTTATTGAGGCATATATCTCTGGGTGGACAGTGCAGGGCGTTAATGAAAGTATTGCAAGCCAAAAAAAAAAATGTTTAGAGGCAGGGAAATTATTTCAAAAGGATTGCTGACCCATGTCGAATTTTTGATGATCGATATGGAAACGAATGCAACCCCAACCCCAATGTAAGTATTTTAAACAATTGGTTTTATACAATTTAGAATTGTTTTACGATGACTAAACGAACCAATCGATTAGGGAACATAATTATTGGAAACGTTTTACATATTTAATCCATCAGTTTAAAATTGGAAGCCAAATAAATGTCCCCAAAATGCGCTACAATACTGAAACGCTGTGTCTGCATACGACAATTGTAATTACTGTAAAATTCCACATTCATTTGTTTCGACAGCATCACATGACCACTGCGTGCTAGGCACAGCCCGACGCGTCGGCTCGGGCTCGGCCATTACGGCCCGACAACAAAGTTGCTGCCCAAAAACAAAACAAAAGGCACATACTATGTATAATTGCTATATAATTACTATATAATTGAAACAAAATAAGTCATTCGAGTCAGAGCCTTGGCAATTACCCCCGCCCCCCACCGCACACCCAAACACAACAGACAGACCAACAGTCGAAATTCACATGTGTCACGGGCCAATTGTAACAGTTATACTAACTGTAATAGTAACTTCTACCCCAGTCCATCATTTGGCCAAGTGCGGTGATCAATGCATAGGCAATGACCAGCCATATAAATCAGTTAATCAGCATCACAGATAAGCCCGGAACTATGTCCAGCCAATGGGAAACCATTCACACAGACAGACAGACAGACAGAGAGAGAGAGAGAGTGCGAGAGAGAGAGAGAGAGTGAGGAAGGGGCACAGACATGGGATGATAATGGGGCACGCCATCTGAAACCAGTTGGAGAACATGCCACCAACGACATAAATAAACCACACAAAATATGAGCATAAATCAATGGGTTAGGTTCGGTGCTGGGTCCGTTGGAAGGGCTTCGGGTTGGCTAGATGAGTATTAGGGGGAAACGCTTGTCTCTGATGGTCCCATCAAATGCTATTCGGTGCCCCATGCATTAACTAATTAGTAGGGCTTCGACAGTCACAGGAACAACCAAAACAGACAAGAATGGGGAAATTATGCGGCCCTAACTTTATTTTGTTATTTTTTGTAAATGAAGAGTTAACCGAGTTAAATGAGTTTAACAGCTTCAGAGGCTGCTTAAAGCCAGACCTGAACCTGAACATATTTTAAAGGAATAAATTGTTACATGATGAATCCTGTTATTGAATGCATTGAAATTTGCAGGCCAGCCTTTTGAAGAAACAAAAAAAATCTATTTATTTTTTATATTTTAACTAATTTTGTAGGTAATCCTGTTATAGTTCTAGCATAGTTCAAATAAAGAAAAACTAGTCATTTCTGTCAAAATTCAGATCCAATCTGCAGATTCAATCCCCTCCCTCCGATTCCCAAATAATTGTTAGAGAACCCATCCCAACTATTCTGAAATATTCTGTGCTTCATAAACGATAAACAAATACATTGGAATTAATTGTATTGAGTAAATCTATGATTGAACATTTCTGTTGTGGCCTAAGAGCCTCAATCGACTCCTCGCTGCGTGGTCAGAGACCAAGACAGCAGCAAATATTTGGTCATGCATTAACTAATTAGTGGCAACAGCGATAGGGAGCCGGATTGGGGATTGGGGATGGACATGCTGGAGGAGTTTCCCCATTCCTTGCTTTGACAATGTCCATTTCCTCATTTTATCCTGGCCCTGCTCCCCTGCTCCCGACGCCCGCCCTTTCTCTGCTTTTGTATCCGTAGCTCTGACTCTGACTCTGTTTCTGTTTCAGTTTCAGTTCGTGCGTTTTGGTCTGCGTGTTTATCTGATTGGAAATGTGCACCCAACAATGGCGACACACACACACACAGATACGCACGCACACGCACACACGCACACAAACGAACACACAGGGACACTTCTTTAGATGATTAGCAGCGATAGGTCCCTGGAAATAGCTTTTAGCATTGGTAGTGCGAGTGCCAGTGCTGGTGCCAGTGCGAGTGCTATTGGAGTCGATTTAAATGAATTTTAATACGAACAGGAGAGCGAGTGCCTCGATTGCAATTCAATTTAGATGGAAACAAACATTATAATCTGTGGGCCAATTTCCATTAGCCGTATTTATCATTGGCCGACCGAGAGAGAGAGAGAGAGGGAGAGAGAGAGAGCTCATCAATGCCCGGCCAACTGGCAAATGTAATTGCTTCTCCATTCAATATTTTCTACAATAGCCTGCCGCAATTTCAATTAAATTTCAGTTATCACACAGATACCAGGAACACGCACACAGATGCAGCACCATGGAGCAGAGCAGAGCAGAGCAGAGCTAGCTGCAGCTTAGTCCCAACAATGATGGTTCGACTCTGATAGCAGCTACAAGTCATTGCTCTAATTAGAATTATTCTAATGAAATTAAATTGCACAAATTGCATTTGCACTTGCACAAACAGATAGAGTGCGAGAGGGGAGATGGAGATAGTATAGGGACGATAGAGAGTGCTGCAAATTAATTATAGAAATTGCCAGATCTCCATATGCTACCCATTTGCCACAGCAACTTTGTCATAATTTACTCTGGGCCCCCACACACACAAACACAAACACAAACACACACACACACAATCAACTGATTAACCAAATGAGCTTCTGCTTCTGCCTGCCTGCCCCAAACAATCTCATTCCATTACAGTTCTCAGCTAATTTGATTAAATTAGGCATGCATCGGCCACTGCCACTGCCACTGGCACTGCCA